ATTTGTTTGTGGTTTTTGACATATAGAAAATTTTCATTAAGAATATTAAATCTAGTAGGCTTTTTTGGCTGTTTCTGTCTTGGACATTGAAGAACACATCAGGTACTGAAGTAGAGGAGTACCCCCTTATCAGCTTTCACCTTCCAAGGTCTGGTACCCACGCTTAGCCTTGGTCTGGAAGCAGATGATCCGCCTTCTGACATATCCTCAGGTCAGTGGTGGCCCACTGCTACGTCACAGTGTGTGCTGTCACTCTCATCACGTAGGTATTTTATTATCTCCCATCAGCAGTAGAAGAGGGGTGAGTACGGTACAGTAAGGTATTTTGAGAGAGCGAAAGACCACATTCATGTAACTTACTACGGTGTATTATTATAATTGCTCTATTTTATTTAGTCATTCTTGTCAATCACTTAATTTATAAACTTTATCATAGGTATCTATGTATAGGAAAAAACAGCATATATAGGGTTCAGTATTACCCATGGTTTCAGGCCTCCAGTGGGTGTCTCTGGAAGAATCCCCTACAAATATGGGGGGACTATTGTATAAACTGAAAGGAATCTTGAAGGTGGACAGTGATGGTCTCTGGAAGGAGAGGCTGAGTATGGCACGGTCCCCGTTCAGTAAAGGCTGAATTCCTGTCAGAGGGTCGGAAAGAGAGAAGGGGGGGTGATGGGGGGAAGGAAGGGACAGGGGACAAAGGGGGAAAGGGACAAGGAGGAGTGAGCTGTAATGCAGGGGCGGGCTGGCCAGACCCACTGCATAGTACAATCTGAAGGTGTCTCTTGGTTGGTCCCGTCTGGTCTTTGGACGGGAGAGAAGCTTGCCAGGGCCCCGGAGACCAGATTATCTCATCCAAAACCAACACAGTATCTGAAACGTCTGAAAAGGGGGCAGAATCTCAACGAGGGGCTGTCCTTGGGCCCACCTGAGGACCCAGCTGTCTCCTAGTCAAGCTTTCTAACCACCACACCGGAAGTGCTGCCTGATCAAGGTCAGAGTGTGAAACCCAGAGCTAAATTTGAAAACAAAGGTCAAAGGCATTCTTTATAACTTACTGTAGACATTTCAAAAGAACAATCTTTGGCTAATACTAAGAAGTTACAGAAATAGATTTGTCACTGGCTGATGAGAATGAAAAAGCCAAACATTTTCCGAAAGGAAACAAAAGGAGGTAAGGAGTGGGAACTGACCTCTCGGAAGAGTGTGCCTGTGTCACTGAAGTGTGACTGGGAGTTGTGGGGGCTTGCCTTGGCGCTGTCTAAACTCCGATAAGCAT